ATGACAATAGTTTACCGAAAACATGTCAATTAACATATTCTCAAATCCCCTATCCTAATGCAATGAAATACAAATTGCGTAAATCGTTAAAAAACATGTCATTCAAATCCTTTTGAATTTTTTAAAACACCTCACCAGTTTATGAGTGATTTTATCATTTTGGGAGTGATATATAAAAGGAATGGGTCTAATGGGTCGGCCCGCTAACCCACCCAACCCGAACCAAAAAATCACGAGTTATCAGGTTCGGGTCATTCGGGTTTTGGGTTGTAAAGTTTATACTTTTCGGGCAGTTTCGGATAAGGTCAACGGGTCGGGTTGTAATTTTCCAGGTCTAAGTCCACCCCTTCTTGTTGATTGTACCCTTTTGCCACTAACATGGCCTTAAATCTGTCAATACTGTCATTGGGATTGAATTTGATTCCGAATACCCACTTGTTGCCTATACCTTTCTTTTCAATAGGTAATTGGACAATGTACCATGTGTGATTAGTTTCAAGAGCTGATAGTTATGTGTTAACTGCACCATCCCATTCAGGGGATTGAATGACTTCCTAGTAAGTGTCAGGCTCTTTATGTATAGAGATGTTGAGCACAAAGTGCCAGTGGGAAGCAGATAAGTTGGTGTAGCCAAGCACAGAAGAAACGAGGTAGGAAATACCTTGAATTTGTTACTTGAGTGGATGACTGGTTGAAGAAAGCTAGTTAAGCATGTTGCAATGGTATTTTTTTTAGGGTGTTGGGGTGGTTTGCTGATTTTCAGGTGGGTTGAAGGGGTTGTGGGGGGGAGGATGAGTTGTCTGCGTATAAATATGAAATGGAAATGGGATTGTTAAATAATTCATAGTCAAAATGTATGTCATTAAGGTATTGCACATTGCTTTGGTAAGGGTTGGGAATTGGGATCATACTCATAGGATGGACTGAAATCATCAAACAAGGCAGGTTTAGATATCTAGTTATAAGTTTGGTTTTGGTTTGTTGGTGGATGAATTTGAATGGAAAGTGGTTCTTAAAAATATTGGACATCTGTTGAAGTTAAAACTTCATTAATTGTTTGATGATAAATTTTGTACCCTTTGATGCTTGATGTATATCCTATGAACACTCTCTTCCTATCACTCCAGAGTAATTTTTGTTCTATGATTGCTGAGAGAGTTGCCAAAACAAATCCAGTCAAGCACTCTTAGACCATGTCGAGTTTCATTTCAATTTCCTATTTTCTGTTTTCATACCATAAATCTGATAATGGAAACGAGAAAATCTGTTTACTTTCCAATATGTTTTCTATTAGTTTCCAACTCTGGAAACAAAAAAAAAGGTAGCTTTGTGTTGTTTCCGGAAACGACAAAATGTTGTGTCCACTAGTTTCCAACATTGTTTCCTCATATTTTAACGAAAAAACTTTTCTATTCTTATCGATGAGGTGAAATATTTGAATGACATTACTCACAATTATTTTTTAATACTTTTATTTTGGATAATTACTAATTATTAGCCAAACTTTTCCCACATTCTTATTTATTAACCAAACCTATTAAAATACTAATTATTAGGCAAATATTTTGTAACCGCTTTCGTTTTGTATACCTTATAATAAGAGTTTGTATGTTTTTATGATATGATTGTTCACTTTTACATTTTGATTTGTATATTATCTTGTATTGATATTGTACGCTTTTATTGTATGTTCTGTATTTATACTTTATATACTTTTCTATTTTATTTTGTATACTTTCAAATGATACTTTTTAGTATTTGTCTAATTAAATTAATAAGTTAAAAGGCAAAAAAAAAGTAAAAAAAGGTGTTCATATTTAGTAGAATAAATGTTTTTTTATTTTTCACGTAAAAAAAGAGAAAGAAAAAGAGGTGTGGTCTCGTGGTCAATTTATTTTTTCATTAAACTATCATTTTCTGTCATTATTATATTTAAGAAGGGAATTATTTAACAGATAATGCAGTAGACTTTTAATCTATTATATTTGGGTACATATATATAAGAAAAACAAATGAAAAGGAGCTAGCCATATTGACGACAACAATGTATCTAACAAAACTTATTGTTATATAACATTATATATAACAATCATTAAACTTAATCAGAACTGGAAGAGAGATAAAGAGAGGATGTAACCTACAAAATAAAGGAAAGAGGATAAAGTTAATAGGGCAACTGTGCTTGCATTTCAATTTTAGAAAGCAATTCTTTAGTACTGCCGGAAGCAATATCTATATTCCATACATCCCTCAAAATCCAAACCATTTTCAATTTGCATTGGGGCAATCAAGTAAACAACACAAAACTCAAGAGATATTTCATTCCTACCATAAACAAGTTGTGTCATACCTGTAAAACTGTCACAATAATTCAAGAAAATGCCATTAAAACTGAAAGACTCGTCATCAATATAGAATTTATTAATATACTACATTGTCTTCAATGCATGAGGGTGATATATAGGATCCCCAAGAGAAAAAAAGGATAGCCAAGATCTCACTCGAAGAAGATACCTAGGCTTCTTCCCCTATATATAACCATGTTCTACTACGACTTGCTTATCTGGTAATGTACATTCCTTCTCATGTATTTGTATCTGCCTAAAAAAAATTATGTTTGATTTCTTTCTTTCTATCTACTATAATCGTAGGTTTACGATTCCTGCAACAAATCAAGATGATGTACCACTCATGGTACTCTCCGCGTTTGCGATTACAGCACAGTGTGCAATCACCCTCACACTGATCTACAAATTGAAGGACAAGCGGCAGAAGCAGATGATCACCATGTTCTGGCTGAGCTTTGTGTCTATCGATGTGGTGATAGTGCTTGTGAAGTTTCTTTACTACGATACACGCCACGAGCGACACATTTTCCGGGGGGATGCAGTTGTTGCATCTTCCTTTCTGACTATAGTGGTCACTATTATGAACATGATTAGTATCTTGTATTGTTCTTCAATCGTTATTTTAGGACCAACACAAATTATTATAAACAAATTCCTAACAATCTCTTGGGTTGTTACTTTTGGCTTAAACTTTTAGAGGGTCCTTCGGCGACCCGAGGAGGTTAAGAAGTTGTCTGTTGACAACACTGTCTTGAACTTTGGTGGTGCATTTTTCTTGACGATTTATGGGGTTTGGTACTATGAAAAACTCACCTGGGTAAGTTCTACAATTTTAACTCTCAACGCTATAGTTTTAATTGATATATTAAATTGTTATTCATCACTGAATTAGACGTGATTTTCGACTCGACATGCGATCAAAGCCGCAATGCACCTCATTGTCTTATTGATGTTCAACAAGTACTAAAAGGGACGATGCACCAACGCTATGACAACTACCAAACTTTGTCTGAATTAGTTCAAGTGTAGGTTATTGAATGCTCTCGGTTGTCCATACGATAAGAAATAAATCAAGACTTTATTTCATTTTCCCGTTTGATTATTTTGTGATAATGGTGATTCGGGTTCATTATTTCTAAGGGTCGTTTGGAATACTTGAGGCTCATACATGTGTATTATAAGTATGTGCATGTATATATGATAACCCTAATTCTCATGGTAAAATTGAATATTGAGTAGGATTAGAAGGACCCTTTAGGGCTTGTGTTATTATTTAAGTTTCGTTAATGAGATTAAAAAATCTAAAATAACTAATTACCTATTTCATTAATCTAAGAATCAGTAATAATTTTAGATACTTAAGTGTTAAGGTTTAAATACTTGAACTCATACCTCATATTCTCCTAAAAGCCCACCATTGTACTCTTCTTTATCAAACTCATTCTTCCTATAATCCTATTCTTAGGGGTCGCTTGGAAGTTATGATTGTTTTGGCGAGATTGTTACTATACATATATTATTTAGAATGCATCATTTTTTTTATTTTTTAGCAGAAACAATACTTGGATTATTTCTATGATGTGACAAAAACTATCACTCAAAATGAGTGATTGTTATATCTCAGCTTTGACTTTTGAGTTGTGATTGTTGTGTTGAGATTGTTTTGTCTCCGCTTTTAGATTATGTGATATACACAATCAAACATACCAAATGTTGTATTTTACAATGCATCAAATTTGACAATACATGTATAATATTATACATGCATGATTGCATTCACTACAATACATCTATTCAACAATCGTAACTTCCGATGTAGCCTACGTTTTGATCCTCTTGCTGCAACACCTTTCCACAACTTTATTGACAACTTAGGGTTACTTGATATTGGGTTTCAGGGTCGCCCTTTTACTCTTTCAAATCACTAAAACAGTTATATGTTGATTGAAACTCGTTTAGACATATTTTTATTCCCATGACATTATGAACATATTCTCAAACTCTACGGTCTTACACTTGAATGATATTGGTTCCGACCATTGTATGATCCTATGGTCTCCTCACTGGCGCTCACGATGTTCAAAAAACCTTTTTCCGTTTCGATGCACGTTGGATTAATAACCCGAAAGCTCGTTTAATCATCGGCTATTATTAGAATCTTGCAATTCTAGGCAGGGGCGGACCCAAAGAGTGTCTAAAGGTGTCTTGAGGGAAGATTAACGAACTCCCGATAGTAGTTTGAGTATGGAAAAAAATGTAGTAATATATCCGGTTCAAACCTGTGTCATTGTAGTTACTAGTGAACATTTTTTCTAATTAGACTACAATTCATTTGTTGTTGTAATTTTAACATGAACATAATTATAAACACTATCCCTTATCCCAATTTTTCCAAGACCTAATGAGATGTAATGACTAAATTGAATAGGAGATCACTTGGTGAATGATTGTCTAATAAAATATATTGAAAGAGATTTGTTGAGTACTGTACACGGTGAGTATATTATCAGGTTCTATTATTTTGTGATAATGGTGATTCAGGTTTATTAGTTACGAGGGTTGTCTGAAATACTTGAGTCTCATGTAGGCGTACTATAAGAATGGACATGTGTAATGTTATGTCCCTAATTCTCACGATAAAATTGATCTTATATAGAGTAATTAAGTATATTTTTGCATGATTTCCAGCATCTTCTGTTGTAGACAACTCTCTCACGGCCGTGGTGCTCAAGATGATTGTAGTGGATTCACCACCAGTTCTTGCTGCAGTGAGTTCGTCGAGTTTAGAGGAGGCGAGACCTCTGTGCCTCACACACTGAGCAATTCCCTACCTATACCTGTCGTTGTGACTATAGCGGGCGTAAAAGAATTGACGACTGCTTGTCATCACCCTTCTGTCAACACCCCGCAGTCGATTCAGGAAATTGAAGAATTCCAGGAGTGAAAGAAGAGAGTGAATATGAATGTGTGATTCAAACGATAAACATTTGTAATGTTGTGGTAACTTGTCGTTGGTCTGAAAACATCCTAGCTTCAAGACATTGTTTTTCATGACTTGGGTTTTCAATGTCAACATTACAAGTATGTGAAACTATGAATGTTCTAATAAATTTGTACTAACGGAGTCAAGAGCATTTTATCATAGGACCGTAAGTGAGATAGCAGCTGAACGAAGCTTCACTCCGACGTCATCCCACTTCCATTGCGGGGCTGCTGCTCCAGCAATGATTGCCTACAGGTTCAAAGAAGCTTCTTGAGAAATATTGTTACACGCCATAATGAACAAAGACTAACAATGCATATACACTCCAACTTAACAAAACCCAGAGAGCCCCCAAGAACATTTCAACAGTTCAAAGATGGAGAGTAGTCATTGAAAACCTTTCCACTGTTGACTGCCGCCACCAGCGCCACATGCTGGTCATATCTACCAAATTCGTAGAAGTAATATGTCCTGAAACAGGGTCCAGTGAAGGTGGATGCAACACGTTTGCCAGTTAGCTAGAAATGATTGAAATTGGAAAGCGTTCTAATTGGACTCCCTTACCTCAAACCTTCTTCTTCCTTTATTTTGATTGTCCTGGCAGTGTATATAGTCGAACCAGCTGCCATTGACACGATGAAAAAGGCAATATGAACAATGGATGATCCTTGCTACGACAATCCAAATCAACAAAGAAGGGAATAAAAATCTAGACCCAAAATGGTTTGATAAGCACAATTAAACATGCCTGGAACAAAGATTTTTGCTGCCTCTTTCAAGGAACCTAAATCGCTAACATCTTTAGCCTGCACAAAGTCATGTAGCAATGGTAAGTATCTATCAGAGTTTGCAAGAGCTCTTCATTGCCCTTTCCAGTAACCATTTAAATAAATCACATCTGAGCATGGCAATTGGCAATCTGTTATACCCAGACCTCTAAAAAGGTGATCTTGAGCTGATTGGTGGGGCGAATCAGGACACTCACAACTTCAGACCTACATCCGATGCCAATTCCACATTCCATACCATCTTAGTAAGACAATCACAATGTACTAGAAACTTTTCAACTCTCACCATATCCACAACAATACAAGAAAACACAAAATAGTGTAGAACTTGGTCAATGTACCCATCAGCAGTGGCAAACCGAGCAGCAAATGTCTTTGGCTTAACCTTATCTCCATAAAGAGACAATCCGCCATTCAAATCCTGCACGAACCACAATACGCACTAAGAATAAAGGAAAAATAGATGAAAACTTATTTCTCACTTTGGACGAATCAAAGGCCAAATGAGGCAATTTACCTCTGGTTCCTCGATGTCCTCGAACTGTGGAGGGACTCGGATGGAGAACCCATCTCCATAGTGCTGAAGCCAAGCTTTTGTGTTGACGATTCCTGAGAAAGATGCAGGCTTTGGCGTGGGAGAAGGTACAGCGAAGGAATTGGGAAGGGGGGTTTGGGAAGTTAGGGCTATGAGACCGAGTGAAGTGGTTTTGAGCAAAAACTGTCTCTTGGACTGAACATGGCGATTGTCGAGGAAGGAAGTAGGATTGAGAGTTTTGGGGTTGGTGTTGTGGTGCAATTGGGGATTTTCGGGAAGGTTTGGAAGGCGGGAGGAAGAGGAGAGGGAGAGGAGAACGGCCATGAGAGGCTGGGGTTAAATTTCATGGTCGTTGAGATTGGGGGAAATTTGGAGGGAGAAAGATAACGAGTGGGCATTTCAGTTTTCACTTTGCTTCTTCAGATGGTTTTACCGAGTTGTTTTATACTCTTCACTTGGAGAATAATCGTGTACTTAATTTTTACATTTTTTTTACCTAATACTATGCTTATGTTTTCATGTGCGTTTCCATTTGAGTTTTCTAATGCTATGGTGCGATTAATTCAGAGATAGAAATTTTTTGAACTTATCACTTTTTCTTAAATTTGGGAATTTATTTTAAGTTTGGGAAAATAAATGTTTGATAAAAGTGTAGAAAAACCAAGGTTGTTAAACCCCTATCGAACCCCCCGGTTGGACCCGGTTCAACCCGAGTCGGGCTTCAAAACGGCCTCCAGAAAACCCCCCGGTCTGACCCCTAAACAGGGAGAAGAAGAGAGGCAGAAGAGAGGAAAAAGAACGAAGGAAGGGAAATGGTAGGTAGATCATGGAGGTTAGGTAGATTTATTTTGTTGAAAATAAGTTTTTAATAGATATATGTAAGATAAATTTTATTTCACTCATTAAATTTTTAATTACTACTTTATTTGTATATATATTTAGAAAACGTCTAAAACGGCTCAAACCGGCCGGACCCCGATCAGACCATTAAACCTCAAACCCTTTGCTTGACCGGCTCAATGACTTAAACCGGTTTGACAACCTTGAGAAAAACTAAACTTGATGAGAATTAAATATTTTTATCAGTAAAAATGTAATTAATGGAATAGTGAATAATATATTTAATAGTAAACCAGTGCTAAATTTTGAGAAATGACTATTAAGATTTAAGGGTAGTAACTTTAAGAATATTTTTTTAATTATACTGTATGTTATAAAACTAATGGAAATGTAAGCAACTACAAGAGAGGATTGGAGGAGGAAAGACACAAAAGAAGTGAGGGGAATAGTCCTTCTTGTTCATACTCATTTGTGATACAATAGTGTGCTCTATTTATAGGCACCCTTTGGTAACCACTACACCCTTACATCAATGCATATAAATTAGAGATAATAATATAGGAATGGGAGTTACATGTAACTCCCAAGTGAGCATCTAATGTGGTAGGCCATTGGTCATCCAAATATTAATATTTACATAATACTCCCCCTTGGATGACCACTAGATTGCATTATTACGCTATCTCATGCTGCCTCATTAAAAACCTTACCAGGAAAACCCAGTGGGAAAAACCATGGTTAAGGGAAAAAGAGTGCAGCGCGTATATGCTCCCCCTCATGACCACATCAGCTCAAGTCTTTGAGTCGTCGAACTCCAATTTCACGAACAAGCTTTACAAAGATTGTCGTCGGGAGTGACTTGGTGAATAAATCTGCTAGATTCTCACTTGAACGAACTTTTTGAACAATTATTTCACCACTCTTTTGAAGATCATGAGTGAAAAAGAACTTGGGTGGAATATGTTTTGTTCTATCTCCTTTAATATATCCTTCCTTTAATTGAGCAATGCATGCTGCATTATCTTCATACATGATCGTCGGGATCATTTTTCCTAGAGATAGTCCACACGATTCTCTGATGTGTCGAATTATAGATCTTAACCAAACACATTCACGACTTGCCTCGTGAATTGCTAGGATTTCAGCATGATTGGATGATGTGGCTGTTATAGTTTGTTTTGTGGATCGCCACGAAATAGCTGTACCACCACAAGTGAACAAATATCCTGTCTGAGATCTACCATTGTGGGGATCTGAGAGATATCCTGCATCTGCATATCCCACTAAATCCATCTTCGATGCACTCGAATAGAACAAGCCCACATCTGTCGTTCCTCGAAGGTAACGGAGTAAATGTTTAACTCCATTCCAATGTCTTTTAGTGGGAGAAGAGCTATATCTTGCCAATATATTCACAGCAAACGATATATCGGGTCGTGTGTGACTGGCTAGATACATTAATGCTCCTATTGCACTAAGATATGGCACTTCAGGGCCAAGCAGATCTTCATCACTTTCTCGAGGTCTAAATGGATCTCTTTTCACATCAAGTGATCTTACAACCATTGGATTACTCAACGGGTGTGATTTGTCCATATAAAATCGCTTAAGCACCTTTTCAACATATCCTTCTTGATGCACAAAAATACCATCCTTCAAATGTTCAATCTGTAATCCAAGACAAAACTTTGTTCTTCCTAAATCTTTCATTTCAAACTCTTTCTTCAAGCAATCAACTGCTTTTGGAAGCTCTTCGGGAGTTCCAATGATGTTTATGTCATCAACATAAACTGATATTATAACAAACTCACTACCCGATCTCTTTAGAAAAACACATGGACAAATAGGGTCATTCGTGTATCCTTCTTTCACCAAATATTCACTGAGACGATTGTACCACATTCGTCCAGATTGTTTCAATCCATACAAGGATTTGTTCAATTTGATAGAAAAATTTTCTCGAGAATGTGTTTTGTTCGCTTCTGGCAAAGTGAATCCTTCAGGGAGTTTCATATATATATCATTCTCAAGTGATCCATACAAATAGGCTGTCACAACATCCATTAGACGCAGATCTAGTCCTTCTCGAACTGCTAGACTAATCAAGTATCGAAACGTAGTTGCATCCACCACAGGGGAGTATGTCTCCTCATAATCAATGCCAGGTCTCTGTGAGAATCCTTGTGCGACAAGACGTGCTTTATATCTCACGACTTCACCCTTTTCATTTCTTTTCCGCACAAAAACCCATTTGTATCCCACTGGCTTTACGTTTTCTGGTGTAAGGACTACCGGTCCAAAAACCTTTCGCTTTGAAAGCGAGTTTAATTCTGCCTCAATGGCCTCTTTCCACTTTGGCCAATCATCTCTTGACTTGCATTCATCAATAGATCTTGGTTCATGATCCTCATTTTCATTCATCACACTCAACGCTGCAGCGTAAGCAAAAACATCGTCGACGATTATTTTACTTCGGTTCCAACATTTTCCATCCAAGACATAATTGATTGAGATCTCTTCATTATCAAAACTTTCAGGTACCTGATGTTCTTCGGGAACTACAATCTTAGTTATGCTCGGGGACTTTTCTTGACCTTTCATATCCTCGATTTGACCAACTTGATTCATGGCTCCTTTTCTTTTTCGAGGATTTTTATCCTTGGAACCTACTGGTCTACCACGCTTCATTCGTGGTTTAGATTCATTTGCAATTTCAGATTGTCCAACAGGGACATCAACTTTCACTGGAGCATTTACAGCTGGTATGTGTGACTTTGTCACTCTCTTCTGGTCAGTAAAAGAATCCGGCAGTTGGTTTGCTAAACCTTGTAAATGAATTATCTTTTGAACTTCCAGTTCACATTGTCTAGTACGAGGATCAAGGTGAGATAATGATAATTCATTCCAACAAATATCTTTTCCCAGCTGTTTGCTCTCACCCCCTAATGTTGGAAAAACTGATTCGTCAAAATGACAATCAGCAAAACGAGCAGTGAATAAATCTCCCGTCAAGGGTTCTAAGTATTTTATGATTGACGGGGACTCATATCCAACATAAATTCCCAACCTCCTTTGAGGACCCATCTTAACACGCTGTGGTGGAGCAATAGGGATGTAGACGGCACACCCAAATATTTTTAGATGGGAAATATTAGGTTCCTGACCAAAAACCATTTGCAAGGGGGAAATTTCATGATAACTTGTTGGCCTTATGCGAATTAATGTTGCCGCATGCAATATAGCATGTCCCCAACAAGAAATTGGCAAGCTTGTTTTCATAAGCAATGGTCTTGCAATAAGTTGCAAACGCTTAATAAATGATTCTGCAAGGCCATTTTGTGTATGAACATGTGCTACAGGATGTTCAACATCAATGCCAGTGGACATACAATAGTCATTGAAAGTTTGTGAAGTAAATTCACCAGCATTATCTAGACGTATTTTCTTGATTGGAAAATCAGGAAAAATGTGCTCGTAGTCGTATCAATTGGGCAAGTAATCTAGCAAACGCCAGGTTGCGAGTTGATAGTAAGCACACATGTGACCATCTAGTTGATGCATCAACTAAAACCATAAAATATCTAAATGGTCCACATGGTGGGTGAATTGGCCCGCATATATCACCCTGTATACGTTCTAAAAATGTGAGAGATTCACTCCTTACTTTCACAGGTGATGGCCGTATAACCAACTTGCCACGAGAACATGCAACACATGGTACATCTTTAAACTGATAAATTTTGTGACCTTTCAATGGATGTCCACATGTATTGGCAATGATTTTTCGTATCATAATCAATCCGGGATGGCCTAACCGGTCATGCCAAACTATAAAATTATCAAGATTTGTAAACTTCTGGTTTACCACTGCATGTGTTTCAATTGTACTAATAAACGTGTAGTACAACCCAGAAGAAATAGCAGGCAATTTCTCCAATATGTGTTTTTTATCGGAGACCATATTTGTTATCATAATATACTCTTTATTCTCTTCTTCCTTTGTCTCAATATGATATCCATTTCGGCGAATATCTTTGTAACTCAATAAATTTCTTTGAGACTTTGAAGAGTATAAGGCTTCATTGATATACAACTTGGTCCCTTCTGGTAACAATACACTAGCTCTTCCGGAGCCTTCAATTAGATTTGTACTTCCAGATATAGTACTAACATTTGCTTCTCGCATTTCAAGATGAGAAAAATATTTCTTATCCTTCAAGATTGTATGTGTCGATGCACTATCAATAAGACACACATCATGGTTTTTTATCTTGGTGCCAAGCATGGGAATATTCATTCTTCACAAAAGATAGAAAGTAAATCAATATAAGAAAATATCTCCAAACAAATATAAAAATAATAACATGATTATAATAGATGAAATTTAACCACATAAGGATTATAAAGAGAAATTATATTAAACTGACACATTAATAGGAAAAACACACTCAAGGAAAACGACAAAGAAAGTGAAATTTCAAATGGGAAACCCAAACTTTTCACTTGTGAACAAAGCGACAACGAAATAGAAATTTCAAATGGAAATGCTAAATTTTTCACTTGCGAACATTCC